ATCGACCATTTACAATGTGTAGTTTCTGTATATAAATTTAAAAAAATATATGTTAAATGAGCCCTTTCATTTAATACAAGACGTTTTGGATTTCTTCAGAACATGAGGAAATTTTTTGCCTACATTGACGCTGTTTAGTGGCTAAAATAGAGAGAAAAAGAGATGTAAGTTTAGTTAAATCGTGTTCGTTCGACTTCAAGAATCTGTGATGAGTCCATGAATACGGATTATTGGTATAACTTTTATCTGTTTCTAAAACAAATTCAATGCTAAATGAATAGAACCTAAATTGTATGTAATATTTTATCAATTATTTTGTTTGACAACTAAGTTTTTTGTTTTTTTTTGTTACAATAAATTTTTCCCTTTTCTATAAAAAATACTCAAAAATAAATACCTTTTTATTTTGGTATGTAATAAAAATAGATTTGTTGAAAATTGGGCGTTAAAATGATGGACACAATTTTAAAATAACTTGACATTTAAATATGACGAGACAAAGGAAATATCAAAGAGTATCGATTAGAATTAGGCACATGCCTACACACTTTGCATAGGTATTATTAAGTATACATATATAGGATGGACCACCATAAGTGTCATCCCCTATTTTCTTATTTAATTTTCGACCTAAGAAGAGGCTCTAACAGAAGCTGCCGGAAACTTTAAAAATTTTCAAATATTTAAATAGCGAATATAACTACAAGGAGTGGCCTGTATATTTTTTGTACAATTGGTTAAAACGTTATCTTACTATTACAACGATATAAGAGTTGATGGGTTTATTTGATACCATGAATACTACAAAAACTCAAACCTCATGCTCCTTTCTTCGATGATGTCAGTATCGTGGTATTAATCCACGCTAACTAGACTTTTTAGAAGAAATAATTCATATACAAATAATGTTTTGCCCATGTTTATAGGAGTAGAAGTAAGGATCCGAAAAGTTACCATCGTAACGGTGGGTGTAACCATCCTTTTTTTACGAAAAACCGCCCCCGGGCGGAACCTAACTATGGTTTTTCGCGTTTTTCCTCGAAACCATCACTCTGAAGGGAAGAAGATATAGAAACAGAAATGTTCTCTATTAAATTCTACACAAAAAATGTCGTATAGATTATTAACCTATCCCTCACTGATTTCCTTCTATCGGTGTTCAAAGTGGGGATGAAAAATGTGAAAAAATGCATAAAAATATATCGAAACAACAATTCCGCTCTACAACTGATTCTAATCACTTTCTACGTCAAAGAAGCAAAAATAACGTATGACTGATTTTTCGCCGAGCGCTCCATACTATCCCCCACAATTGAATACAATTAAAAGTATAAAAACGTTAAAATAGAAAAGATGTTTCTGAGAAAAGAAATATCAAAACGTCATTGCGGTGTGAATACATCAATAATATTTTTTTATCTACATATGAGTTACTATCACTAAAAAGATAGCATCATTTTCATTTAATTTCCAGCAATATTTTCCAAGAAAAACTTATTTTGTGCTTATTATTTCTAATAGAATTTTTAGTATGTAAATACGTTTTATTTCCGAGTGATGTATTTGTCTCTTTAGAAGTGACCCAAGCACTAATCATGTAAGCTTTGATAATCTATGTGAAGGAAAAAGATTATTATAAATAAATATAAATAAATAAATATTTTATTTAGCAAGTGCTATTCCTTACAATTTACACACAAAAAGTAACAAAAAGAAAAATTTTACAAATAAGCAAAATATTTAGTGCAAATTCCATTAAATTTTTTATAAACATATTTATATTTACAGAATTCTTAATGCCCTCCGGTAGCGAATTGAAAAGTCTAATGCCATCTCCAAACATCTGTTTTTGCAAATAAGTTGTTTTTGAAAATGTTATATTATAATTTTGTCCAGAACGTATATTATATGAATGCAGTTCAGCACGCGTGACTAGATACGATACTAGATACTTTGGTAATATATTTTTACGCATTTTGTATATTAATACCAAATTAGCCTTTTCAATTTGCTTCCAAATAGGAATCCACTGTAAAGTTTTCAACATTAAATCAATTGAGGTATATCGACTGCAACTCAATATAATTCTCATACATTTATTTTGCAACCTTTGAAGCCTATCCATATCTGTCCTTTTACATGATATCAATAGTGATGCACAATAGCTAAAGTGGGGGTTAATTAGTGTATTATAAATTAAGTGTTTACTCTCCGCAGTTAATGTGTCGGAAATTCTGTTGAAAAAAACAATTTTTTTACCTATTTTTTTTACATAGATAATCAACATGACATCCAAATGACAACTGAGGATCTAGAATCACCCCCAAATACTTAAATTGTGTAACTTTTTCAACTTTAGTGTCATTAATGTAAATATCTAAGTTATTATCTAAATAATGTTTACAATTTTGTTTTGTACCAAGTACCATATATTTAGACTTATTAGAATTTAATTTTAATTTGTTAATGCATAACCAATTGTACAAAATTTTCAATTCGTTATTCAACCGGTAAGTAATATCCTTATAATCTCTACCCGATATCGCTATTAGCGTATCATCTGCAAACAGACTCACAAAAGATTCATTTAGTACCTTATACAAATCGTTTATATAAATAACAAATAACAAAGGGCCTAAAACACTACCTTGTGGAACACCTATTTTGCTAACAATTGTTTTTGAAAAATTGTTATTAATCTTAGTTTTTTGAAACCTATTACTTAAGTAATTACTTAACCACTGCAACGCACTGTGTTTTATACCATATAGCTGTAATTTTTGCAACAACCTTGACCTATCAATGGTTTCAAATGCACGTTGAAGGCCAATAAAAACACTTAATACAACCTTACCGTCACCAATTGCTTCTTTCCATTTGGCACACACAAAATTTAGTGCTGTTTCACACGAATGCTTTTAACGAAAAGCTGACTGTCCTTCATAAATAAGATCGTTATATTCAAAATATGTCCTTAGCTGTTCACAAACTAATATCTCTATAATCTTGTCAACAATCGGTAACAAATTAATTGGTCTATAATCGCTCGGTTGTACAGGTGAACAAACTTTTGCTACTGGCACTACAGTACTCGTCTTCAGATTCACTGGTATAGACGCTGTAGATAGTGACGTATTTATTAAGTACAGTAATGGATATCCAACCACCACAAAAATATCCTTCAGAAGTTTTACAGAAAGGTCATTATCAGATGATGCTTTATTTTTTAAGTTCATGACAGTCTTATATAATTTATTAAAGGAAATTGTACTAAATCGGTCTAATTCTTGTTTATTACATTCTATTGCATTTTGAAAATTATCTTTAACATTCGGTATACTTTCGGCTATTGCTGTAACACTTGTAGCGTAGAAGTTATTGAACTTGTCTTGGTGATTACCTAACTCACTTTCAAACTTTATTTTCCCTATGTTGTTTGCACCTTCCCTTTTTCCGCCGATTAATTCCTTTAATGTTTTCTTATAATATTGGGACTTCTCATATCTTATGATATTAACAACTTGGTTTCTTTTTTGTTTATAATTAATCCAGTCTTGATTTAATCTTGTCATCTTAAACCTTTTATAGGCAAAATCTCTTTCTTTTTGAGCATTTATGATGTAACTATTTACCCAAGGTGTACTATTACATTTTACTCTTTTAACGGGAGCTATTTTGTCGAGCGACTCTGTAATATTACAAAGAAATATTCCATATATTAGATCCACATCTGTTAATGTATATTCCCATGACTTTTCATATAAATCTAAGATTATTCTATTAATATTTTCATTGCTAAGATTTCTAGATAGTCTAAACTGATCCTCCTTTTTCTTATTTAGACACTCTAAATAGTACCCAATAATTGTGTGGTCAGTGATTTGCGGATATATTCTCGATATTTCCTGTAAATTATAATCATTTGTAACTATAAGGTCAATTAGTGAACTTGTTCCCCCCACTATTCTTGTACATTCAGTAACTATTTGTTTGAAACCAGCTTCATTTACTATGTTAGTAAGCTTCTTATTGTATACATTTTCGGTCTCCATATGTACATTAAAGTCACCTGCAAATATTGCTTTATGTTTACATATTAAGTCATCATTAAATACCTCTTCGAGAAAATTAAAGAAAATCTGACAGTTCCCACTTGGAGATCTATATATTGATCCAATTACTACCTCATTTTTTGTTAATTTTACTTTAACTATTAGAGCCTAATAATATGGTACCGAGTATTAATAACAGTAACGTCAATATGACTTCTTACGTAAATACTTGTCCCACCGGTATGTCGGCTATGTGAATAACAAATAAAGTTATTATATTCTGGTATGGCTATTTCATAATCTGCAATATTTTCTGTGACATGTGTTTCATTCATACAGACAATTAAGGGATTTTCCTTATATAAAAGCTACTTAATCTCTAGGAGGTTATTGATCAAACCTTGAACATTTAACACTAAACACTCCATTTTGTATATCATAATTGATATCATTTAATTGCTATATATATTGAATCTTGGCTTTATATTTTTCAATTTCTCTCTTATATACTAAACACTCTTTATCAAAGACCGAGTGATCATATGTAATATTGGGTATTTTCAAAACCTGACAAGCATGTTTGCAATTTATACAAATTGCATCTTCACTGACACAATCTTCTAGTCGGTGCTGTCCACCACATCTTGAACATACATCATTTTCCTGCTTACAAACATTCGTCACATGACCATATCTCCAACATTTGAAACATCTTGTGACACTTACAAATTCATAAATGCGGTAACTTTCCCACCCTAGAAAAACTCTTTTCTCTTTCAGAAAATAATTAAATGCATTTGGTGATAATTCAATAAGTACATTATGTAACTTCTTATTTTTAGGAATATACTTCTTTATAAATTTTACAACAAAATTATCTACACCCAGAACATTTCCCCTTATGCAAGAGATCAAATCATCGCAATTGTTTAAATGCTTGTCATGTACTCCATGCATAACCATTTTAGGTTTTCTTAGCTTGGGAACTTGCACCTCATAATCCTCCGAAAGAGTAGAAGCAGCAACATCTTTCAATTTATTTAAAGAATCCTCATCTTTACATTCAATAAGAATGCTGCCTTGGCCGCCCGTCTTAACATTCTTTATAGAGATAGCACTATCAGAAGGATTAATTTTTTCTGTGACAACACTTTTTGTGGTTGTACTATTCTGGTAATTTTTTTTCGGTTTAATTACTAAAGGAGGATTATGTACTTTAACAATATCACTCCACTTCCTATTTAAACTATATTTTTCTGTGACTCCTACTCCAGCTTCCATAATATTTAAACATTTTGAAGTTTTTACAAATATTTCTTCTGCTTTTTTCTCAATTTCTTCTACTTTTGATAAGACATTTAAATTATTTTACACCACCTGTATGCAGTCTTTGCAGTACCACATCAAATTTTCACAATCACTGATAGCTTTCCTAACATTTTCTCTTACTTGTACGCACACAATATGAAACTTGCACTGAATTTGCTTATTATTAACAATAAAATTATCAGAGCAGCTCGCACACACTTGTACGCCTGCCATCATAAAGAAGAATTTAGTAGGGCTGTGTTATTTTATTTATCATTTCGATGGGTTCTGTAGAACCAATCAGATTAAAATTTTTTAAAAAGACCAATTCATGAAATCCATCGCATTAAATTGATAAATAAAAGAACATAGTTGCTTGGCAAACATGTTTTACTCTGTATCATACTGTTTTAACACCATACTCCATTATTGTTAGAGACACACTTATCAAATTTTATAATACACTAATGCAAAAAAATAAAGGGTCCAATGAATTTCCGAAATTTTTCTGTGATTTTTGACAGATTGTATTTAGGGGAAAAATGGTCGTATCGGGAATTAAAAAAAAGCATTTTGAGGCTCTAAAATTCTAGTTTTTAGATCTTTCTGTAGAAATTTTTTTAGGAACTACGATTATCATGCAATTCTAAGAAATAGCGTGACAAAAAAAATTTGCAAATTTTCTTTTTCCATGGACTTGGAAAAATTTTTTTCAGCTAAACCATTGCATGGAGCAGATAGGTTGTTTATTCAGCTTCAAAAACCTTTTTTTAAAATTTCGATACGACCATTTTAAAAACAGTTTTTTCAAAACTACCCTTTTTCTTCTTTTCAATTTTCAATTTCAAAATGCTTTTTTTTAATTCCCGATATCATTTTTCACCTAAATACAGCCTGTCAAAAATCACGGAAAAATTTCGGAAATTCTTTTGACCCTTTAATTTTTTGCATTAGTTTATTATGCACGAAAAAAGCGCCCGGAATATACTCGTATAAAATTTAATTTCCTTAAAATATACTTGTTAGAGTTATACTACATCTACGAATAAATCAAGACACACCACCATGAACCTTATTTTTTTTAATCCAAGAAATAGACGCGTTATAATTAGTTTTTTAAACTGCATTTTAATTATGTACGCCGCTACTGGGTGGCGTAAACCGGAATTTGCGTATTAGTCACCATCAGCGTTGCCGGTTGGTTTTAAATCATCCTACATTATGAGATTTTACAATGAAAAATAGTTTAATAAAACAAATTACTTTTGTATAACTTAGCGACGTGTTACTTTAGTCACCATATTTTATTAGTGTAACTGCAGTAGAATCGCCAAACGATAAAAAAACATTCTATCGTTTCTAAAATAAAATTTGATTAAATATACTAACTGATATTGGTATAGTCTTTCCGATATCAATTAAAGAACCATGAAATTGACAGCATGTACCAGGTTCGGCCGCTGACGCAGCAACTTGGCATTGAAATATTTGAAAAACTTGTTCCCATATTTATTTAGTCATACCCATATACAGGTCTGGTCGAACTAAACGTGGAGGTGGTAGAAATGTATACGTCCAGTTGAAGAATGTGAACGCGGGCAAACGAAATACAAACACAGCTGCATTGGGCCACTAGGCAATAAATCTCAGCTGTTGACAAGTTGTTGACAAATTGCCCAGTAGTGCAGTGCAGGTAATTTTAATTTAAGGGACGCTTATGAAAGTCATTAAATTTTATTGCCAGGTGTGTTTTTACATGTTCAACTAACTTCGGAAAGACTATACTAGATATGTTATATTTTTTTAAAATCAACTCTTTTTTTAATCAACAACTGTTAGATTGCGAAACTAATCTGAAAGCAATCTGAAAACAGATTGCTTTCAAACAACGACGTGTTATTTTAAAGTCATCATATATTTTTTATATCAATCCGAAGAAAGTGCCAAACATAAATAAATGTTTTTAAAAAAGTAAAAGAAAATTCACATGAGTTTAATATTAACCAATATTGATATGTAGATATACAGGGTGTCCCGTTCATGTTTCAAAAAAACTTGTGTGCAAGTTCCTCATGGGAAAATAATAGAGGTAGTTCATGTAAAGTTTTTTTTTCTTAGACGCCCTGTTTTCGAGATACAGTGTGTGTTTCCAGATGATTTTCCTTAATTATCTTTATATCGGCTAAAGATAAAAATGTCAAAATTTGTACACGTGTAAACATCAACTGTGCATTAAGAATAATGTGCTAACGGCTTCTTTCTGAAAATCAGTGTCGCCGATACAGGTAATTGAAGGGGTACAATCGAAGAAAAAATATGTTAAAAGTCAAAAGTTGCATTTTTTTGCTCACATAAAGCGGCATAACAAAATATTAAATTGAAAGAGGACCTTACCATTGAATGAGCTGAAGATTTTGAGCTACCAACAGTATATGCATTTAAGACTAAAATTTTAATTTGTTACCATAAAACAGTTAAATAGTAAATCATTTTATTAACTAAAAAAATAATAATTTATTGTAAGTTTCAGTTTGTTGTAAACTAACATTTAAAAAAGTAAATCAAAATAAACAGATTATGGTAATTAATAATAATCTATTATTAACTAATTTTAAATTTTGTAAACTACTACACTACCATTACTAAAATAAACAATTGTTGAATGGACTGAATTGTTGATGGACATGAATGTTTAAAAAAAGTGATAAAAACAGAAAAATATTAGGAAACAGACTCGGAGACATACAGAACAAATCAGCTACACAATTAAATAAATGTGCAAACTCGAAATACTACAGTAGATACTGAAATTGTCCCCCATTTCCTTCGATACAACTTCATTTTTCTCGAAAATGATACATGCCAAAAAATTTCGACAAGTTTACCTTTTTTGTAGTATGCTTTAGAATTTACTGAACCGTTTAGAAATGTAATAAATTTTGACTTTTAAGATATTTTTTTTCTATTGTACTCCTCCAATTGCCTGTATCGGCGACACTGCTTTTCAGAAAGAAACCGTTTGCACATTATTCTTAACGCACAGTTGATGTTTACTCGTGTACAAATTTTGAAATTTTTATATTCAGCCGATTTAAAGATAATTAAGGAAAACCATTTGGAAAGTAACAACTTCAACACACTGTATCTCGAAAACAGGGCGTCTAAGAAAAAAACTTTATATGAACTACCCCTATTATTTTTCCTTGCACACAAGTTTTTTTGAACATGAACGAGACACCCAGTATAACTAATTATAAATAAAACTAATAAAAATACTAATCTGATTGATATGAAATATTTTTTAATATCGTTTCAAGTTTTTACACAGTTATAATTAAAAAAGGTATGTACAGAAATGCGGGGTCTCCACTCTTTTTTCTTAATCCAAAATGAATAAAATAGAAATGAAAATTAAACAGCGAACAGTTTAAATTTAAGCAGAATTCCATCATGTTCCGAACGCTTCCGAGGCGCATTGGAGGTTAGCCACCGCTGTTCCTGTTGCAATGCCGCGTTTGAAACTGGCTACTGCCGAATCACTTCACACCTGGTATGCAAGAATAACCGAATATGTCATCACTGTATCATTAGGTTACATTTTTATTATAATTTTCTACGGTTTACGAGAGGATGTTCGTAAAGTGCCTTTATGTGGTATAATTGGTGTAAGTGTATAACCTTATAGTTATTTATTTTAGTGTTTAATGTATTTTGTGTTTTAATTTTCAAGTTTTTGTATGACATGAAAAAGCATGCTTACGAATCAAGAATGCTGATAAGGTAGAACGTAGGCTCTAAAAACTGGGTTTTGTCAAGAGTAAAAAAGACGATATCAGATTATCCCGACTTCGATTAAGAAAATGTTTGTAGTCCAACATTTAAGGGATTTGAACGCCAATACGTAAGTAATGTTGGACGGAAGCAAATTCAGAAAATGAGAAATTTGAACCAGAAATTTTAAATGCCGTGGAAGACTAGTACTCGAAGATTAGCCACAAAATTTCAAATATGCCACACTGAAAATTAAATGAGTAAACAGATTATTTACTTTGTGTATTTCATTTATCATTATTAATTACTGCATAAGTTTTCTGTTAGATTACTGGTTAAGTATTGTTTTCATATCCACGACAAAACTCTCAACTATGCTTGCATTAAAATATTGTTCACACATATTTGTCAAGTACCTATGCAATTATATTTTGTTGGTACTCATTTTATATAGATGTAAACAGTATGTTTGTAACCGTTTAAATATTTTTCACCTACAGCAAATATACTTTCATGTTTCATCTACTTTTAAATTAGGAATACCAATGGATTTGCTTTTAATTTATCTGCGAAAGTTGCTGTTGTTATTTTAATATTATTCCTTCTTATTTCACTATCAAAATTTAGCAGCTGAAAAAAATAACAAAACAAGACGAAATTGTATTAGATCGTAACTTGAAAAATACCACATATAAGTAACCTACAGAATCACATGGCATCTGAATAAAGTAGTGCCTAATCTACAGACTGAAGCATAATAAACGCAAGTAAAAATCTGATTTAGTCATTATTATAAAACAGATCCCATGCACTTAAATCCTGATTTTCACGTTTTAGTTCTAACCTTTTAGGTATTTTGCTACATCACACATCAAGATTATATATATATCAAATTATTTTAGTAATCAATTTACCTTAGAAAGATCATGGTTTGTTTCATATTTACAGTCATTTTCATGGAATGTCAGCTACAATACAGTTTTAATCCATCATAAGTACTTATAAAATCTAGTTTAAAAATAAAAACTATTAAAATTCACTACATTTAATTACAGAAAATATTTGGTTTACCTGTGTGAGGTTCCATGGAGTTCTCCCTGCGATTCATTTCCACAAAATATTTAACCTGAAACCAATTAGAATTTGTTTGCAAAATTTTCTGTATTAAACACATAAATAAAATAATGCCAATTTCATTAAAC